CACACACACACACACATTCCGGAAAAAAGGAACTTAGAAATAAAATCATAAAACAGAAAATGAATGGACCAGTACCAGTGAGAATGTCTAACACAATCCATAACCTCTTCCCTGTAAACGCTTCGAGCTTCCTTCAAGCGCTTCACTTGGTCAACATATATGCACTCTCTAATTTGTCTGTCTGTGTCTTCAAGGAGGGTAACAGACTGAGATTGACGAGACATGAATGATGATGCCTGAAACACAAAGCCATTTTGTAAGCTAACTCTAATTATATCATTCTGCAGATATAAAGCTAATGACGGTGCGAAGTAAAATCCACACTTCATCAAAGCATAACTATGCTGGAAAATAGAAATGCTTCTTTTCCTTAAGAAGCTTCATAAGGTTTATTATTGGCTTGGCATAAATGAAAGAATTTTCAAATTAACCACGTAAACCCGCAGAGAGCACAATAGTGCAATTCATAAATGTCATGCCAAAAGTCAATCAAGAGTCTTCCAATTTAATCAACAGTGTTTCTTTCTCATCCTTATTCATGCTTCCAATAATATATCATAACACACCCAAATAGAAAACATAAAATAAAATTTCTGCTCACCTGCTTTAAGTTTGGTGCAAGACCCAAATGATACAACAAAAGCATAGCATCTAAAAGCTCCTCCTCTTTCAAAGTAGGCGAAGGCAACACACTCTCCCTCGGCAGTATCCTTAATTGCTGCATAGGTCGAAAGGAAAACTCAGGATCAGAGTGGTCGCTCGTGCTTGGCTTATCTGCAATCTCATCATTTAGACTGCTAGTACTACATTCTGCTGAGACATGAGAAGCTCTGTCCGAAATAGAGCTGCAACTTCCATGAGAGCCTTTACCCAAATATCTCACGGGATATTTCGACATTCTCGACAAATCATTATCATAACTAGAACAACAACACGGTTTCTGACTACCAATATGGGTTGCTTTTGTTTCTTCATCGTCCGTGCACCCCTCTTCCCACCGAATAATTTCTTCTTCCTCCTCGTCATTTACAGGATTAGATTTTAATAAATGACTGTAAGATCCTCCAAGCCTCGATATATCAACTCGATGAGGATCACCCTTCAGAAACAGACCAGCGGGAAAACATTGTTCACCGCCCCTATGAAGGAAACCCACATGATCTTCAGAATCTGTAGTACCAGAGCCTTTAATCCACCCATGGATGTCACCCACGGCAAAACCCTCGGACAGAAAATGGAGAATAACAGTAAATAAAGAGACAAGCACCGAGTTGTTAGAAACTCCAGTGGGAGGCATATTACGATCAGCACCCCTGTTCTTCAATAAAATGTTCTGTAAAAATGTCCTAAAAACTGAGCCAGGCAACTGCATGGGGGCTACAGGTGGTATAAATTTCATGACAAGACGACAGATGTCCCTTTGCTTCTCTTCTATCTGCAGATGCGCCACAAGTCATGCCATGAAATGTGAACAAAAGTTAGAGGAGTTGTAATAGTTTGTCGTAAATCAAAAGTTAGATAATATAGCCCAATTCAGACTCACAATAGTACATCAAAGAAATAATATTAATAATGAGCTAAAAATCAAGTAAAATACCAATATATCTGCAGAAGATAAAGAGCATCCACAGAACGCCATTTATTATCAAGATAGTTTAAGGATCCATAGTTTTCATTCACAATATACTATAATTTATGAGATTGCAGAGTATTCATTAAAATTGTGTGCGCAAATTAATGAACGCACAAGTTTCCATTTTAAGGTTGAAGATAAGTTATTCATGGACAAGGGAAAGAGTGTGTACATTTCTTATCTGCTCTACTTATTTTGGAACAGTAGCAAATAATTTGATTTCCTACAGCACAGTAAAGCCATCAGCAAGGAATAGCCTCACTTTGCCAAAATGTAAGAAAACTAAAATTGACTCTTTCATAACATAACATAACTAGCAGAACGAACAAACATACAAAAAATAAGTTGAATCAGACTTCACATTCATCCTTAAATAAGACCTTTCAATGATCACATACCATAGATGACTAAATATATATGCATAAAGACCAAATATGTAAACGTCCATATTTAAGCATAAAACATGCCAGGAGGCAGGAGGAAATTAGGAAATAAACAAATCAGCAGTTATTGACCCAGAAATATTTTCCAATTAAGCATTAATTATGATGGATTATAAGTTTTTATAACCATGCACCTACTCACTATTTTCATTTATTATAACTAACGCTGACAGGCCATAAACAGCAGCACTGATCATTTGCATCATGAGAAGGAGTGAAAAGAAAAACTAAAACACAGAAATATTTAAGACGTCGAAGAAGTAATTGATACATAACATTTAATGCAATTCTCATAAAGCTTCTTAACCAAAAACGACTAAACAATATATTTGAGCACTGTTGGATAGGATGGTTAATGGACTCTGGGCATGTTCAATGCAGACATTCTATCCCATAAATTGCGTGCCAATGGTATGGTAGTGAGTGAAAGGTATCAATCTTCTCTGAATCTTCTTTCCTCTCAGATCTAGCCGCTTTTGGTATTACATATGCTTTAGCTTTCTTATGGGAAGAGTTTCGGCAGAACTAACATTAGTTCAAATCCAATCTAACAAATGCATAAAGACACCATTGATACAATAAAACATACCTTATTTACCGCTTCAGATAAAGCTGTAGTTGTCAGCACCATGCTATTCTCGCTAGAAATATCCTCACATGATCCAGGCCACCAAACAGAAGGAATTAAACATTGGAGATCTTGCTTATTTGGACTTTTCCTCGAAAGAAAACCCTCAAACAAGAACTCAAAATCTGAAGATTCCCACCACAGTGTCATCAGTTCCTGTCGTCTCAAAATGTGACATGCAAGGGCGAGATAACTGTATGACCCAGAATAAGGGCACTCAGTCAAAACCAATGACGCTGTTTTACATCTCGATGAGAGGGCACCAAAAACATGCTTAAGCAATAACTTAGACTCCTCAAAGCCGAGAAAGGAATCAAGTACTCTATCCAAAGTTTGATAGTCATGCGGTGGATGCACTCTGAAAATATCCATCATGAATGACAGAAAAGTACCATGTCCCAAATACTCTGCACTACCAAACTCAGCACTGATGACAGACAATAACTCTTCACAAATTCCATGAGAGACAGGACGCAACAGTTCTTCAAACGATGCAAAACGTTTCAGTCTTCTGAGCTTCTCAACAGTGTCGATTTCGGCCCTCTCCGTCCGCTGCATTTGCAACAGCCTTAAGAAGCAATCGAGGAGACTGGCCGCAAGAGACAATGAAGAAGGGGGCGCTTGAATGGGATGGTAACCTTTTATTGGATACTTAAAGGGATGTCCCCCAAAGTTCAACTCACACCGTTCACCTTGAGAAAGAGAAATGGCAGGATAATACCCCAATCCAGGCACCATCTTCCGGATCCCGGCAAAAGCCACCCCTAGCGAGATTCCATTACGATAAAACAGTACCTCATCACGATCAAGGTCGATGCAACATCCAATCACATCGCCTACAACCCACGACTGGCCGTACGGATTTGCGTCCTTACTCCACTTACTGACCCTTTTCCCATCATACGCGTAAGAATCATCTGCATCCCCAACACCCTTGTGATCAGTGAAGGGGCAAGCAATAGTAGCCCAACCAAGCTGCTGTATACCAGAAGTCTCTAGAGTGACTTCATACATCCACTTTCCTTTCCACACACACGTGTTGGCTCGTACACTACTGAATAAAGCATGACTCTCCACAAGAAAAGGCTTTTTCACAATCCGAATATCGCCACAAATGCTAGACTCTTCGAGCCCAACAACCCGAAGTTGTGGATCATTAGATATCGTGGATACTCCATCTCTGTTTGTACTCACAGCAGCTTTAAGTTCGGGATGGTGCTTATAGAAGTCATTCTTAAGTATCGAGCGAACCACACCATTGTCAATAGGGCCCGTCAACTGATGAACTTTTTTGTAAGGAAGATTAAAGATATGTTCAAGCGTTCGCTCCACTGACTGGTCACCAAAACCTTCACAATATGAAACTAAACGGGATTTCCCAGCACCCTCTTTCCTGTCCTCACCATTCAGTACAACGGCCAAGCCAGAAGAATGCCCGCCAATCCGTAGAATGTCATCCATTGAAAGCCAAAACAGGGAGCCCCAAGCCAGGCCAAATTATCCACCTTTATAGAACAGAAAATTTCCGGACCAAATTTAACAATACCAGAAATCAATTTCCCTTCCTAAATCCGGAAAATGGCACGAACTCATCACCCTACAACAATTACGGTATCCATCAAGAAGGCTAGAGCTCCTTAATTAGCAAGCCACAGAGACTGAAAAAAACAAAAAACGAATATCAGATAATCTAGAAGACAGTGTCACAGCTGACATAGTACTTTTGAGATAAAGCAAAACCATGAAATAACCAATCTACTACAGAACTTCTGCTTCAGATTGCGGCTACCATTAGTACATATTCCACTTTATCTTTAACCTCCCCATTATTTCCTCTTCAGTCCCACAGTAAATAAATACAACAATTTACTACAAATCAAAGGCTTCCCCCTTAAACAAATAGCAGCCGAACTCCACGAAAACCTCAAGAAATCAAAACCAAATTCAAATACACAACACATACCAATAACTCACCGACATATTAACACAAACGAACAATAGAACCTTCGAAACACCACGGGGGCGAACCAGTGCGCGCATAAACTGAAAAGCTGTGAGAAAAACAATGGGCCCTTCACATGAAAGCACGAATCTTTTTTGCTGAAACAGAAGGAGGCGGCGGCCGGTGAACAATAACACTGGGGCGCTTGCCGGGCACCGTTTACTGGTAATAAATCACGAAAAGGGAGAGAGTAGAAGAAGAGATTTTTCAATCTTGAGAGAGAAAAGAGAGCGTTGCAATTGATTTTGTGTGTTGTTTGTGAGTGTATTTTGGACTTGTTTTCTTCTTTTTCTGTTCGCAATAACTTGGGAAATGTTTTTGACTCACAGAAATCGGGTAATTCGGTAAACGAAAATGAACGGGTCTTTGCGGGTCGGGGCGGTTATCTCTCCGGTTAATTTTCCTCCGGTTACTGTACGATGATGAGTAAGCGTTGTTTATACAAGTGACCACCATTCGCCAATGTATCAACAGTCACTTGGTAATATTTTCCCACATATTTGA